ATTATACAATAAAAATACTCGTTGACATCTAGTCATGTAGAACATTTTTAAATGATTCGCCCGAGTTTTTGAGCTTTGAGACTCTGCTGCCACACCAATGCAATGGATGAGAATATAATGATGTTTGTTGTTGCTCACAACATTGAAAAATCCCACTTAAAAGTCACAACTTTTATTTTCAGAGTGGCCGGCCTTGTTACTCTGTGAAGCTTGTGTGTCACGTTTTCAAAGAAAATACTTTCTGTCAAAGCAACAGCCCCTATGAAACCTCCTGGCAGTGCGTCCATTGGATTTGACAGAGTAACAAGGACACTTTTCAGTTGGACACATTGTTGTGTAAGTGCTTATTTAATGCAGTGTTCAGCACACATTAAGGGTGAGGATGAATACTTTTCTTGTCGTTACCATATCCCAAAAGAAGGTCAAAATCATGTGTTAGTCCACATTTCTGGACATTGTCGGCGAAATAGTTTTTACTGTATGCTCTCTTTGAAATATGGGTGACATATTCAAAGTTTCATATTAATATAAAGTTTAAGTGATTACAAAATGTAGCAAATGTTACCCAAAAAATGTTAAATACAGAATTTTTACAGATTAATACAGATTTTTTTTTATTACTAAGAGTGCTCTTGAGCAGGACACAGTATGTTGGACTGATACCCATGTTTATTGTACTTCAGTTCAACAATGCAAAAATGATGGGTTTTTTACATTTTATAACAATAATGCAGCTCTGCCTCACAGACACAAATCTGTCTGTTTGGTTTTGATCTTTTATTGGGGTTTGTTGACGACATTGCAGGACTTGTTGCAAACCAAACATTAAACCACTCAATATCAAAGCTACATTTCCAGTTCATGAGGACTCTTTTCTCTCGTCCAAAGGTGTGATCGGTTTTGTCTCAGCTTGTTTGGTTGTATATTTCCTTTGTGTGACTGATCCATGTATTCATTGTGGAAATAGAGAGACATTCTTCCTGTAATGATGGCTTTCAATTCACCAATAGCCTTACACAATTTCAAGACCGCAACAAATATGTCGGACGCTTGCCCAGCCTAGGGCCTGTCGAGTTTCAGTACATTCTGTACATGAAGTAATGACTGCCTCTAAAAGCCAGCACACACACAAACCTCTCCTGAACAGCCTCTTACATCCTACCCTTTAGCACATTTCTGACTCCGGAGCCCGATGCGCACAAGAACAGACAGCTACAAATCACTTCGCCGTCCATGAGTTATCTCTGTCAATTACTGACGATAAATGGCTTTGGCAGTGTGAAGGCCAGGTGCATCAATCCGCTGTGTCTCACGTTGTCCTAGCTCCTCCACTCTATTGATTCTACTTCCAATGCTTCTATGATCTAGTTTTGATGGCCCCTGACCACAAAATCCAACTGAAGCGCTGATGTCAGATGAAAGGGTGGATATGTAACCCAAACTCCCCCCGTGGGACATTTTCACATTCCTGATATTAGATCTTCCTCCCTCCCAGCTGAGACTTAATATAGATCCACTGGAGTCGTCCCGCTACAACTACTCTGTGCCGGCACCAGATTTCAATCAAGGTTTGATTGCAATGTAATACCTTTTGTGGGTGGAAGAACTCCCACTTTAATAACATTATCTGACCTTAAAGTGCTTTCAATGCACATCTTCTAAAAAAAACAGCTGGCATATAACCGCATACATTTCTCCATGTCTTTCTCTGTCTCCATAGCTCTTTTGTCAGCCTTTTTTTCTCCCTAGCTGTGCTAAATGTGCTTATTCCACCCATCTCACCTCCACAAAATGGCTTTCGGACGTCTATATCTGTCCAAAGCCTGTGGCTTAGCAGAATGACCATTCAGAGAGCTTGGGATGGGGTCTTTTGTGAGGGGCTTGTCCCCTGTACAGCAGCTGTCTTCTAAGGGGCTGTCTGTGATGGCGGTCAGCAGTATCGCCCACCACCGCTTTGACTGATCCTTTCTCCTTTCACTCTGCCCGGGGGGCTCTGCATGTGTTGGAGGCATTGATCGGCCCTGAATTGGATTGTGGCGAGCCTGATTACTGATGTCGGTGTGTGGCGGGTCACGTGGGACTGCTGGAGCGCCTCGTGCCAAGCCGGGGCCAGGAGGAGGGTTTGCTCGCTGGAATTACATTTATCAGTCTTAGTTACACGGAGCGTGAACACACCATGCCCACACATACTGTAATGCTTAAGTGACGCACAAACAAACTGCCAACATAATCTCATTTTACTCCTATAGCGGCAAAGCGGTATGCATTCCTGATTGGCATTAAATAGAGAGTGTGGGAGAGTGTTAGACTATAAAAGGGCATTAGCACATTGCACCAGTAAATTACAACTCTCCCTACTGTAATGCCATATTTAAAATGTTTTGAGAGCGACTGAGAATCTTTGGACACTGCTTTGTATTTATTGCCTCGTGATGCTACTGAATCAAAGCTCCTGTAGCACAAGGTTACACTATATGACTTACTGTGTGTGTGTTTTGACAATGGAGAGTGTGTGTGTGAGTTTGAAAGTGATTTTCGGCCCATCATTTGTTTACGCCTGGAATAGTGGCCATCATCTTTTCCACTAAGAGAACAATAGCCATTTTTCCCCTTTGCTCGGGAGACAATGAAGTGCCTTCTATCCTCGCGAGCGACAGGCCAATAAAAAACGTAATTGGATCTGTCAATCAAACATTGCTGCAGCGCGGGGGTGGGCTGGTTGGCAGGTGGGTGGCGGTGGTGGAAGGGTAGCCGGACAACAGCAGTAGTGCAGAAGAAGAAGAAAAGAAGAGAGGACCATTGTGAAGCATTAACACTCAGTGCCCCCTCTGCACACTGCCTGCCCGGAGGCACTCTGCAACAGTTACAGAGGTGTACAATTGTTGTGTTTTGCTGTTTGTTTGTACCAAGGCCAGGGGGGTGACAATCCGTCTTTGTTTGTAGGTATTAGTGGGTCAGTGATGTGGCTTTGATGCGACTACACAAGAGAGCCGGGGCTGCCACAGACTCTGAAGGTCACCGTGGATGGACCAGAGCTGATGTGTCTGTCTGGGCTTTGTTTGCGCTCAGGCCATCAGACACAGTGTTTTTTCGTACCACAGAAAGGTCCTGTCATTAGTCAGGGGGATGCTTTCGTAGTATTTTTCACGGTCAACATATTCTTGTGTGTGCTTACCTCAGCCTTTAGGCGGATGGATTATTTGAATTTGCCCGTTCACACTTTTATAGTATGCATTTGCGTGTTGCTCTAAACTTTAATGATGACTGCTTAAATTAGGAGCCCATTTACTGCCTCTCTGACTGAGACGTTAAGTGCGATTTCAGATATTCTGTGTGTCGGGCTCCCACTCTCAACCCTACTTCGGCTTTTAGGAGATGTATTTCTGTCTTTGGCGACATTCTTTTTCCATTATTAGTGGGGCAGGAGATTGTTACAGAGGAGAGACCCTCTGATTTTCCTTGCATGATGGTCTCAAGAACAATTTCTCTTTTTATAAATAGAAAAAGGGTAATTCACTCAACAAGTGAGGCGTTAAATATTGTGTCTTGGACCGCCTCGACGGTTAAAAGAACCTGGAAACTGCACAGTCACCACAGGTTCATGCCTACAAAGTCATTTTACTGCAAGTTCCTTCTTCCTTTAAAAACTCCAAGAAAGCATCTGCTGTTTGCACTGTGCCTTAAATTAAGACAAGTATATTCTCCCGCGCCTCTCGACACTTGCCGAGAAACAAAAACAGGATCCTAATTTAGAGAAATAAAAAGAGACATCTGCTGTGACAAACTTGATTTAAAAGTTCATATTCGTCCCTTATAGATCTCAAAGGTAGTCCTCTATTATGAAAACAGCTAAAGTAAGTAAGGCTGAAGTAACTCAAAAAAATGTTGAAGCCTGAGGTCATCCGGGCACCAATAAAATGACACGCTTCATTTATTAGTGTACACACTGCAGCTTGGTATAATAATCCGGTGGTATTATAGTAATTCTCTCCTCTCCTATTGTATTAATATCCTCTTACATTTAATAGAGATCACCAGGTTTATGCATTGCTTCATTTAAGTTATAGCAATCATGCAACGCTTCATTGCCTTCCAGTAAATTTAAGCTCAACATTATCATGGCCTGGGTTGTAGCAGTTAGCCATGCAATGCCAGAGTCTCAGCTGACCATTTAACAATATGTCTGCCCCCTGTGCAAGTCTTCTTCATTTTGTTATGAGAAATGGTCCCTCTACTCCTGCCTTCTAAAGTAGGTAATTACATAGAGAGATTCCCTGTGGGGGATTAAAACAAATGACACAGAAAACACAGCCCTACTCCTTTGCCACTCACTCAACTCTGCTCTAGAAACCTTTTGCTTAACATGCCCATGAATACGCAAGCAGCCACAATAAAACACACTGGCAGATCATGAAAACTAGTGGGGTCGAGGGGAGAGGAGTCAGGAAATGATGGGGAGGAATCACGATTTCTGGACACGGGGAAACTGGCTTAACATTAGGAGCTAAACAAAACATATGGTTTTCATACCATTTGCAAGGACCGCAGCAGAAAAAGGCATCTGTCCTGCCAGTTTTGCAGTGACAGGCTGCAAGGAGCATTACTCATCATTACAATCTCTGCTGGCAGCCTATTTTCATCACATTACAGTGGTATAATGAAGCGTAGCGCTGGCGTCCTCAGGTTCTCTGAGTAGTTCGCCATTAGCACCAGCCGAGGGCATTCATCCAAGTAGCTTTATTGAACTTTTTACAGTTAGTTTATTGTATAATTAATTTGTTACTGCACAACAATAGGTTGTATCTCGGCGCAGCACCAGTTCAATTTCTCTAATTTGTCTAGCTTGGAGACAAATGTGACTTATTGAGAAACATAGCTTTCTGCGAGTAATGCCAATTGCTAGTTCAGAAAAAGTACTGTATTCAAATATGTGGATTAATCCAATGCTGGAATCAGATCCCTAACTTATTCTGTGTTTTTTTTCTTTGTGTCTTTTCCAGGATCAAGGCAAAGTAAGTGTGACATTTAACATTGGGACGGTGGACATCAGTGTTAAGGAGACAACCACCGACATCGACGATGGAAAATACCATTTGGTCCGATTCACCAGGAACGGGGGTAACGCCACCTTGCAGGTGGACAACTGGCCCGTTAATGAACACTTTCCAACAGGTACTGCCTCTTTTTTTTAATATTTGTCTGATAGATTTGTCTGAGTTTTCACCACTGGACATCACCTTTTTGCTTTAGCAAAGGGTTCCAACAAGAACAAATCTGGAATGGTACTTAGGGAACCGGACTTGCACCAAGTTGCTGCCCTGATCCCACGATGGGCCCAATTCCCAGAAATTGGGAAGGCAAATCATATAAATGATAGTTCTAAATGTGGATTCAACACAGGCAAAAAAAAAATCTTTCATTGTTCAACAAATGTCTCCAAATGCTCACACAACTTATTTGCGTATCCGCCTTTTAATTCAGAGTTGCTCCCAAATTCAATGGATTCTTCTAAGGCCAATTCTTAACCCCTCCACCAATTTTCGTGAATGAAACAAAGGTAAAAAGATTCTCCCTCTCCCATTATTCTTGGTAAAACATGTCAAGAGACTAAGTGTCCTCCAGTAACATTAGCACACACTATGCTCCTGTGGGAAACCATGCCTCCAAAAACGTCTCCACTTGCAAGCGCCTCACACCTGACTCTACAGGAGAGGAGCACACCGGGCTACCGTCTTTTGTCTCAGAAGAGGCATTAACTGTGCAACAGCTGGCTGGTTCATTTGGGGAGAGGGATTGAAAGGCACCAAGACACATTTTGTCAGTGGGTAAGCAAGGAGAGGATAGAGGCAGAAACCAAGGGTGGCCGGTTGGCCAGATGAAGCTGCTGCCTGCCTATATCTCTCATTCCCAGGTCAGCAAAAGCAGCACAGCAGCAGAATACAAATGGGGTCATCAAACAGTGCTCGCTCAGGCACTTCCTTCATTTGGAACAGAGATGTGCCGATCAGCTAGCGAGGTGTGAGAGAGAGGAGGAAGGAAGGGGGGGAAAAACCCCTCTCCCGCTTCTACTTAACAGTCCATTAAATTGAGTTGGCTCTCCTGGTCTTTGATATCGGTGTCTATTGCCAGCCAGCTTAGGAGAGGCCACAGTTGTTTCCTTGTTCCCTATTACCCACTCTTCAATTTCACTCAGTCAAACGGAGCAGACGCACAGGGAAGCAACACGGGCACAAAGTGGCAGTTGAGGCGAAGAGAAGTTGGGATGACAAAAGATAATATGAAACTTCATTGATCTCTGAGGTAAGATTGTACCGCGGCAGCAACACATAATTGGACGGAAACAGATGTAGGATAATGTTGAAGATTGAGTAGTTACATTACCAGATGTGGAGCTAATGTGACCAGAACTGTGAATTCCTAGCTAAGACTTTTGAAAACAAAACAAAAATGCTGATGCTCCCCCGATGGTAAGGAGCAAATAAATAGGAGTTGATCCCTTTCACTTCTCAGCCCTATGTCTCAGCAGCCCTACAGCGCGCTCCTGGTTGTGTCATCATCGAGGACAGGGCAGCCTCCTCTCCTGCCGTGACCTGGCACGCTGTTTTGCTCTGGTTCAATGCCAGCGCAGGTGATGCTAATCTCTTCTGTCTCTGGCTTTCTTTTGCCATCGGCTGTCTTCCGCTTTTATTTTTTTCCGTGGCCCAAATAAAGTAGGAAGGGTTTCGTAACTGGATTTCAGCCGCACTAATACTGGGGAATACTGAGAAACTCCAAAACATCTGGGGCACGACATGTTCACGAGTGACATCTCCATCCCGTAGGCATTTGTGGAGGTTGCGGGGGGGGGTTTTTTCAACCATTCTCCATATTTAAAGACATTGTCATAGTTATGTGAAAATGCTTTATCCATCAACGTTCAATCGTTCTATCAATATGTCCGTCAATGTCTATGATCAAAAGATAGCGTCCATTAAAAAATCACTGATAGATGTCCGTTGGGTTTGTGTCTCAGTTTAAAAGAAAGAGGTTTGATTTATTTGAGCTTTGTATTCATTCCTAGTTATTCTGTTGAGGTTCTGTTCCCTTTTTCTGTCCGCCTGCCATTGAGTTGAGGTCGGGGGATCGAATGCGTGGTAATTTATTTTTCTCTTCTGCACAGTGATAGCAATTCAACGATGATTGATTTTTGTTGCCCGCCCTCTCTGCCTTGTAAAGGCGTTGTCATCTCATGAGTAATTACATGTTAGGGGTGCAGACTCATCGACTGCTTTCGCACACTCCTATGCTCAACTTGAAGAGAGCAGCCCGCCGAGACGGCTCTCAGGTCGTTCAATAAACTGTTACCGGATCCAGGTATGCCCTTTCTCCCTGGTGAGGAATAGGTGAGAACAAAGGTGTCGGTGGATTGCTTGTCATTCAAAGCCGCTTGCAAAATAGCCTTGGGCGTGTAAATTGGACATCTTAACAGCAGTGTTTACAAAGTTACACCACCAAAGTACAAAGGCATTACTGTCTGCTTTAAATGGAAGCAGGAGGTTTTTACAACGTGACCTAGATTAATGTTGGGTCTAATTTAAACACATTTCCTTCTTTCTTGGGATAGACCTTAATTATATGATAAAACACTGTTATTGTATTATAGTTACTATCATAGTGGAATTTGGCGATATTGCTAAAGATAGGAAAATAGGCACGAGCAGCAAGACGAGCATGTTCTCTTTGAATAAAAGATTAACCAATACATTTGAATATGCAATTCATTTTTATTAAACTGGACAGCATTATATTTGGAGGTAGTTCTGATATGTTGCCCACCCTTATGCAAACATAACTGTAATATTAGGATATCATTTCAATACAGTGCATCCATCCCAACACCACCACCACAACTTCAGTAATAAACAGAGTTCTCCTCTTTTGACGATTTGAAGTTTGAAGGTAGAATGTCAAATGTATTTTTTGCAAACTGATATTTTATCTAAACACAATTTCCAGGAAGCCCATGATTATAGGGATTATCACAAATAACAATATAACGATTGGGCTTTTGAATGTGAGAGCTATTGAAGCATAACACACAGAATCACTTTTACACAACAATTCCTGATCCCAAACAGCTGCTTACGCGAGTTTTAGTGTTAGTGTGTGGGCAAAACCCTGTTTTGATGACAATGAGAATTGTCATCAATTCCTTTTATTCTGCGTTTCCCCTCCTTTTTCCATTCGTTGTTCCTCTCTCCTACAATCGTGATTTTACTTTTGTGACAACCCACATTACTGCAGGGGCTTGCCTTTGTTTAGTGAGAGGGTTCCAATTTCCTTATATAACTCTCCGAATCCTCGCGCTCTTTGATTTTGGATTACATGATCTTTTGCATGAGTTTGTTTCTTTGAATGAGGGAATTATTAGACCGAGCCAGGCGGAAATCGTGCATCACGTTTTGCCGGAGCTGGCTGAGGTCCAGGCGTTGTCTCAGATGAATGACCATTGGCCTAACTACTCTGCTTGTGCCTGGGGTGATAGCGTGTGTGTGTGTGTGTGTGTGTGTGTGTGTGTGTGTGTGTGTGTGTGTGTGTGTGTGTGTGTGTGTCATCATTTCTGGTCACAGAAGGGTTGGCCTTGTTTTCCTTTTCAAACACACAAATACCTTTATCCAGGCAGCAAGGCACCCAATGCTCCTGCAACCTGAAACAGGCACAATGAGTTGAACCGTTTTTGGAGATATCTGCCAATCTTTGTCTTGAAATTCAGACAAAACAATTCCTCGGGAACGAGATAAATCCCCACGCGTCCCCGGGGCCAAACATGATTAGCCCTATCTGAGACACAATCTCTGTCGCTCTCAGAACCCCGACTAAGCTGAGCGTGGAAGCCGCCAGTCTAATTCATCCTTTCAACATCATAAATTTCAGAGCGACCTGATAAATGATGAATTTACTCCGTGGCTTTGTCTGACGTCGGAGAGAGAAGGGAAAGAGGATAGAGGGAAAAGCAAAGCAGGAAGAAAAAAAAAATGGGAAACGTGGGTGAATAGAGGAGAAATGCAGACAGTGAAAGAACACAGAGGCATTTAATGGAGTAGATGACTGGAATAGGTTGACAGAAGGTAGAAAGAGCTGACGTGTAGACAGATAGATGGGTAGAGAAGAAGAGAAAGGGAGAAAAAAGTAGATTAATGATACCAGAAAATTCTGACTCTAGCTGAAGAGGTGTGAGTCAGCCGAGAAGAGCAAAGAAGGACGATTGTAATGCAGAGAGACGGAGGGGAAGAGAATAAAGGATAGTGAATAGAAAAACAGAATGAGTGACTAAAGAAGAACACATGGATTTGGGAATGAGGTGGGCAGTGCAGGATACACATAACAAGGAAACAGCTATGGGCCGGAACCTGGGGATGATGTCTTTTTGGACAAGGCAGCAGTTTATCAAAAGTACTCATCATCCCCAAATTGAGAAAATGCCAGGAGCCTGTCACAGCAGCCATTTACGCAGTTTTGATGCACTCTCAGGCCTGGCACGGCGATGGAACCCCAGTGAGATTAGTCTGGCAAGTAAACTGAATAGAACGAAGCGAACGACCAGCAGATGACTGTCGGCGTGCCAGTGTTTGTGTTGACTGAACGGCTGCCACCAAAGGGGAAACATTTACATTTTGTTTGGGCTGGGAGGAAACAAGTGGGGGATGCATCCATTAGGGCTAAAAGAGACACAGAAACAGCAACAAATGTGAAATATTAACAGTGTGAAAAGGGTTTGCATCAGCCAGTCAGAAGTGTGAGAATAATGCTAAATATGCATGGTATGCACATGTGGAAATGTAAAATAATAATACCAACACTGCATAGGAATTTAGTCCTACTACTACGTTAGCTGCTAATAATAATAATAATAATGATAATAACTACCAATAACAATACATATTCATTTTACAATATGTTTATGCATTTTAGTACAAGTAAGAAAAACCAAGTATTGATGCACAAGAGGGAGAACTCAAAACACAGAACACAAGCTCAGATTTAGAAATATAACACAAAGGTTACAATGATTATGTGTAGTAAGAATAATCAAGAAACATGATGTCAGAGACACCAGGCTCAATATAATTTAAGTAGGGCTCCCAAACTGGTCGGATTAAGAATCAAAGTCATATATTTTTAATGGCACTTAA